TATCAGTGGAGGCTGCTGTATTTTAGAGGCACCCATGATGTTTCTACCTAGTGACAAGCCAATATCTACTGATAATGGGAGGAAATAGTAATTAACTTGAGAGTATTCAGGACAATAAAAATAAATGTGAACTGCATTTTTAATAAAGGCACCTTTTTGTTTATAGTTACTGCTTATTTTTAACATTTTTCTGGTTACAAAGTAATGGGTGTTTATGGTTAAGCATTTAAATGCAGAAATAAACAAAAATTGCCTAGGTGTAACCATTGTTACTATTTTGATATGTATCCTGACTAAAGGTGGGGGAACCAAGGTTTTTGGATATGTTAACTCTGAGGTGACTTTGAGATACACAAGTAGTAATGTGAGTGCAATTGGTTACGTGAAGTCCTGGTTGGACCAAATGTAGATGAGAAGGTACTGCAGCCCAGGAGTGAGCATGTTCCTGTGGGTCGGGATGAGTTCACCCAGGGAGTGTGTGCAAAGGGGAGGAGAGCCCTGGCAGATGGCTTGCTTGTTTGGAGCGTGGTCCTGTGCACCGAGAGGTGGCGGGTTCGACTCCCTGTCAGGGCACATGCCTAGGTTGCAGGTTTAATTCCAGTCAGGGTGTGTACCGGAGGCAACCAATCGATGTTTCTCTTTCACATGATGTTTCTCTGTTTCACTCTCTTTCTTAAATCAATAAACATACCCTTCAGGTGAGGATTTAAAAAAAAAAAAAAAAGAGGAGAAATTTGAGGATTAAGCCCTGGGCTCTCCAGCATTTAGAGGTTTGGAGGAGGAGGAGGATTCACCAAAGAAAGTTGGTAGGTGGTGCCAGTACGATGGCATGTTGGGACTGTGGTGCCCTGGAAGCGAAGTGAAGGAAGGATGCAGGGAGGGGATGGCTCATCTGGACTCCTGCTGGACGCTGTGAGAGAAACTGGTGGTTTGCCATTGGCGGAGGGGAGGCCATCGAGCCTCAGAGTGGTTTTCCTGGCGTGGAGGGAAAAGCCTGATGTTGTGGGCTCAGGACGTCAGGAAGACGGCAGTGGGGATGCTGTGAATATGAACGGCTCTTTTTGGGAGTTCACCAAAGGGAGCAGAGATTTATTGTAGGTAGCAGGGTCTCGGAAAGGTCAAGACATTTTATTCTAAGAGAAGAGTCATTGCAGTACATTTTGTATGATAATGGGAATGCTGTTTATTCGTTTTCTTCTCGTCTTGTCTTGGTGAGACTGTGCTGAAGTTTGTTCATTTTATTGGTCTTCTCAGAGAATTAGCTTGTGGTGTAATGAACAGTTCCACCAAGAGCAGACACACAGTTGCACTGTGTGAGGGGCTCTGTTGGTGAGTGCAGAGGTTCCCTCAGGTTCGGGGAGGTGGGCCCCGGGCATCACAGCTCCTCCCTCACAGGACACCCACACGTGCTGTCAACATAAATATTAAACCGTGTGTGTGACACTGTCCCAGACAAGAGCTCTGCCTCCTCCATCGCTTAGTTTCTATGTCAGACCTAAGATTTTAGTTAAAGGTTGACTTTTTTTTCACTTATCAAATTCCTTTTCAGTTTGTAGAAGCTTTAAAAAGTTGCATTAAGACTCGAACCAAGTTATCAACAATTTAGACTTAACTCAGTTTTACTTTTTTGGGTTTGCTATCTAGTTAAACATCTTTTTTAGTTTGGGTTTTTAGTCAAAGTAATACATGTTGTTTTTTAAAAATACAGAGATTTCTCCTCAAGCAGCCTCATCTGTGGCACCCCATCCCACCTCTAATTCTGCTTCATGGTTAATACTCATGTTTGTTTATTTTTGCTATTTAATTCTTTTGGTGCTTACTTACCTCTGTGTCTCTAAGATGTTTATACTTCATTTATTTATGAACTTAAGACATTATCTGTTGGTTTCCTGTTATCCTGAATGTTGATTTTGTTTGCTCCTACCATCCCTCCCACCTGTATTTATAATTATTTTATTCCTGTTCTTGGTCACCTCTATAAATCAAAATTAATATGTATCTTTTTTACTTTGGTCTCATTAATCTAAGGAAGTACCTTCTTGACTTTGGATATTATAAGTCGTTAGACGTACCTCCTTTCCTTTCAGTTCTTTCTTGATTCCATCTCCCTACCTGTCAGTGTTACTTTATGTTGTCAGGGTTAATAGTCCTTACTTTCTGTTCGATAGCTGTCATTCAGGCCTATGTTACTATCTGTTCTGAAAACCAGTTTGTGTTCATGTTTTGTCTGTGGTGCTGGGCAGGGAAGCTGAGCAGCATGTGTTCCCTTTCACCACAGCCTCGCTGTCTCCTGTGCCTCTCAAAACCAGGTGAATATTTAAAAAGTCAACTTTATGTTTACCGAGTAGAAAACCAGAAAGTGAAGTTAAATCCGCTTATAGTAACTACACAAAAATATAAAGTACTTGGGAGTAAATGTAGCACAAGCTATTCTTTACTAGAGACATTGGAATAATGCTGAGGTAAATAAAGAAGACCTAAGTAAACGGGGAGATAAGCATGTTTGTGCATCAGAAAACTCCATTTGTTAGATGTTGGTTTTCCCTAAACGGGTATATAGATTCATTGCAATCCTAATAAAATTCTACTGGCTCTTACAACTCAGTAGAAAGAAGAAAACAGCCCAGTTAAAAATAGACAGGAGACTTGAACAGACATTTCACAAAAGAAGATACACAACTGGCCAATAAACACACATAAATATGATGTTCAGCATCATTAGCCATCAGGACCTGCAAACTGAAACCACAGGAGAGAGTGCTGTGCGCTTATTAGGGCAGCTACGGTGAAAAAGCCTGGCGATACCAAGGTTGGTGAAAGCGAGGAGCAGCTGGAACCTTCAGACATTGCTGGCAGCAATGTCAATGACACCATTGCTTTGGAAAGACGGTTTAGCCATTTCTAAGAAGTTAAACACAGATCTGCTATAGCACTCAGCTCTCCACTCCTAGATATTTATTTGCCCAAGAGAATGAAGTGTCTGTCCATTCAGATGTTCACTGAAGCTTTATCACAAAAATCCCAAATTGGAAACAGTGCAGTTGTCTATGTTTATTATAGTTGTCCATCTATAGTGAATGGATAAACAAATGGTGGAATATCCATGTAATGGGATATTATTTAGCAATAAAAACAAAATAAACCACTGATGTACACAGTATGATTGTCACAAGCTGAGTGAAAGAAACCTGAAGCCAAAGAACACAGTGTGTGATTTCATTTATATCAAGATCAGAGAAAATGCATAAAGAAATTGTTGGTACCCAGAGCCAGGGAAGCAGGAAGGAGAGATCTCAAGGGGCCTGTGGAATTTTGAGGAGTGATGGGCGTTTCTAGTCTTGATCGTGGTGGTAGTTTTCTGCACATATACCAGTGTCAAAACTCACTGAACTGTACACTTTGAATAGTGCAGTTTGTTCTACATAATCATAACTCAAAGTTGAGAAATAAAACAGTGGCCCTGAAACATCAATCAGAAAGAATATATGTACCCCTATGTTCATAGCAGCGTTATTTACAGTAGCCAAGATCTGGGAAACAGCCCAAGTGCCCATCAGTAGATGAGTGGATAAAAAAACCTGGTGCATTTACACCACGGAATACTATGCAGCTGTAAAAAAGGATCTCTGACCCTTTGAGACAGCGTGGAGGGACCTAGAGAGTATTATGCTGAGTGGAAGAAGTCAGTCAGAGAAAGACAAGTATCACATGATCTCACTTATATGTGGAATCTAATGAATAAAATGAACTGATGAGCAAAATAGATCCAGAGACACTGAAGCATAGAACAGACTGAAGATTCTCAGAGGGAAGGGGTGTGTGTGTGTGTGTGTTGGGGGAGGGGGGGAGATTGACCAAAGACCTTGTATGCAGATATGCTGAACCCATGGATACAGATAATAGTGGGGTGAAGGCCTGGGAGGGGATGAGAGTGGGGAGGATGGGGGCCAATGGGGAAAAAAGGAGACATCTGTGATACTTGCAACAATAAAGATAAATTTAAAAAATAAAAATAGTGACCAATAAAAATATATATTCAGTAAGTTGGCTTTATTGGTATGGGCCAAGTGTACTTGCTACGTCACATTTTCTTACCATAGTCATATTCCTTTGAGGTTTAATAATCTCTTTAGGATCAAGTACCCGCTAACTATGTTCACCAATAAAAGACCTCATTATTTATGTTCTCTGTAGTAAGAAAGTATAATAGTGGAATCAGTAATTCTTGTTTTGGTCTGGAACTTGGCTTTCCTGTGTTCCTTCTCTTCTTTCCTCCCTTCCAAGCTGTTTTAAACTTACTACCCAGAATCCTCAAAGTTGGGTTTGTTGACTTGGGAAGTAAAAAACCTACTTTTTGTTTCATGAGCCTGTAAACAGCTCCCTCAGACTCTAACCATTCAGACTGCTCCCTTCTAAGTGTAACTGTAGCTTTACAGTTTAGATACGGAATTATTCCAAATAAATGTAGCAAAAGGTCCATGATTACATAATTTCTAATATTAGGAAGAATAAATGGAAAAAAACACACCTAACTTTCCCTGTATGGAACCTCTCATAATGTTGTAATAATCATGAGCTGCAAAAACTGCATTATTCTACCCCACCTCCCCCCGCTCCTCCATTAAAGAAATGTTATGGCATCCTTAGTGACATGGTTTTAACATGGATTGCCAGCCCACTTTCCCATATGTCACTGTAAAACAGCGGTTCTCAACATGTGGGTCGCGACCCCTTTGGGGGTTGAACGACCCTTTCACAGGGGTCACCTAAGACCATCGGAAAACACATATATAATTACATATTGTTTTTGTGATTAATCACTATGCTTTAATTATGTTCAATTTGTAACAATGAAAATACAGCCTGCATATCAGATATTTACATTACGATTCATAACAGTAGCAAAATTACAGTTATGAAGTAGCAACGAAAATAATTTTATGGTTGGGGGTCACCACCACATGAGGAACTGTATTAAAGGGTTGTGGCGTTAGGAAGGTTGAGAACCACTGCTGTAGAAGTTCTTCAAACAGCGCCGTTATTGTGCTGCTGTAAGCCTTTCTGCTACTCAGCCTTGTTCAGACTTTGTTTTACATTTTCTTTCAGCCTTTTTTGATATATTCATCCATGCATCTTAACCAGTCAAACTTAAGATTTTTTCCTAAGACAGAAACAGATTTAGAAAATAGGATTATCAGATATGATGTTTAAACAAGTGTGATATTTAAGATCCGCCAAAAGTAAAAGAAAATAGCAAATCTTGGTCACAGAGCCCTTCTCCCTGGCTCTTCAGCAGGTGAGTCAGGTCTCAGAGCGTTGGGAAGAATGCCAACTTGAATGATCGTCTCTGACTTAAATTCCATAGATGTTTTGATGTTAAGGCACTTTCAGAATTGGGAATGGTGACAAGAAAAGCCATGTTTTAAAGAAATTCTTTCCTGTGCACATCTCCATTTAAATTAATTTTCTTATAAAGGCCCCTGAAGGAAAGACAAAGGACTGAGTTGTGGGGCTGACACTGTGGGGCTTTGCCGTCCACTGGACAACAGAGGGGAAGGTTCCCCTAGTGTCCAGAGCTGCTCCCACTCTGGGTACCTGGGTGCATCGTAATGGACCTCGACCGCCCTGGTGTAGGGGATGTTGAAATGTCGGAGGGAGCCACGAAGGAGGCATGGTGAGGGGACTGAGCCATAGAGACCCTGTCCTGCGGCTGAGCTGAGTGAGGCAGAGTGATGGGCGGGTGCTGGAGGGGGAGTCAGGCAGAGTAGTGAGGACGAAAGAAGGACCTCAGCCGGGCCGCCATGGAGGCACTGCGTCAGTGTACAGGCCAGGAGAGTGGCCTGTTGCACTATTTCTGATATCAAGGGTCACTGGTCACTTATTGGCCCCCCTCCCCCCCAACCCTTGGTCAATAGGACTGTTTTGGAAATCATTGTTCTCTTTAGTTGGATGTTACGGTTAAGTGAGAATTGACCAGGAAGTAGTTTTTGTCTGAAGACTTACTGCAAGTAGATATTTTGGGAAATGTTCCCCTTCCTGTGTCTGTGGAGGATAATGATCACTGTTGTCTCCTTCACCCGGGCGGGCATCCGTTCTGGTCTGAGCATCTCTGGGTTATGTTTTGATGTGGGGACTGTCTCTTGTTGTCATGGCACCCCCTGCTGTGTGGCAGGGTAGACACCTGTAGGAAGGACAGTTGTCACCTTTCACTGAAGAGGGAGGGTGTTTGAAAGGTTGTCTTTTCCTATGAAATGAGCCTTGGGTGTTGGATGACTTTCTGTGCCTCCCACCTTGAGAACTTAGGACAGTGCAGCCCCGTGAGACGTGAGGTGGGTGGTGCGCCCGCTCTTTGCTGCCCGTGGACGTGACCCTCACAGGATCTCTGAGTGTCTGCGTCAGTGCAGGCAGGCCTGGCTCCACGACCCGATAGTTACCTGAGGTGCTTAAAAGTTTTTAAAAGTAAGTTATCTGTCAAGTTACTGGTATTAAAATGTGATAAAACCACAGCACCATTTTTCATTTTCTTCATGATTTTGGAAGAAAAACATCAAGTGATCACTGTTTTAAAACTCACATTGTGTGTGTTGAGCAGAGAGCAGAAGTTATTTCCAAATGGAGGTACAGGAAGCGTGAAATGTCTGCTCATCCTTCGTCAGCGTTACCGGGTGAGTCAGCAATTTGCTAAAGTCAGCAAACTTTTACTTTGAACTTTAACCATAGTATATGTAGAAAAAATCATCTGTAACATAGGAATCTAAATTTGGTATTAATACATTAACAGAATTTTAGTTTTGGAAGGTTCCTTGGGGGTATTACATCTTTTTAGGTTTGAGAAATATTAGAAGGTGACTCCGTGATATTCGAGGGATGTGTGCATTCTTACCTGATTGAGTCATTGCTTGGTTACACTGCTGGGTGAGAATGGGGTACTGGCCACTTGGAAGGGTTTTGGAATTAGGGCAATAGATTTTCTGAACTTCCTGTTGTGCCCCATGCCAGTGAGGCCAGGGCTGAGGGGCCTCATTCATACAAGTCAGTGAGGTGGCTGTGCTCAGAGCTGCCAAGCCTTGCTCTTTTTTGGCCGTTGTCTTGCAGGTGTATCCAGCTCCCAGAGCAATGAGCAAGGGCTCTCTCGCTCCTCCTGGCTCTGGACAAGCCATCAAGGGTGTTTCTCTGAGTCCCGTCTCAGGGCGTATATATGGCAATAGGCTGTGCTGTGTTTGGAAGAAGAAGTTGATGATTGAGGTTTTGGGTTTGTATTAAAAATATCAAGTCATTCATTCAGAAGCAAGTACCTGCATTGAACCAGGTCCTGTGTTATATGCTTGAGGGCAGAAAACAAGACTCGCAAGGTTTTAACATTTCAGCTGAGACCTAAAAGGTGAGGAGGTGGCCAGTGAGGAGCAGAGGTCCAGGCGCGGCAGGGAGGAGTTTGTGCCTGTGGGCAGGACGAATGGTGAGGCTGGAGAAGAGCAGGAGAGGGAGTCAAAGGCTTGAGAAGACGTTGGGTCAGTAGGTAGGAAATCTGACCACGCAGGTCCGAGGACACGCTGAGGCGTTAAAATTGGTCATCAGACACTTGGAAGGCATCACAGGATTTTCAGCAAGGGAGGATGACATTGCTGTGGGAGAATCAACTAGAGCAGTGGTTCTCAACCTTCCTAATGCCGCGACCCTTTAATACAGTTCCTCATGTTGTGGTGACCCCCAGTTTCATTGTTACAAATTGAACATAATGAAAGCATAGTGATGAATCACAAAACAATATGTAATTATATATGTGTTTTCCGATGGTCTTAGGCGACCCCTGTGAAAGGGCCGTTCTACCCCCAAAGGGGTCGCGACCCATAGGTTGAGAACTGCTGAACTAGAGGATCCAGAGGGCTTGAGGGGAATGAAGCTTTTGTTATTGTCTTGAATAGCAGCTAATATTTACTACTTGTTGGCTGTGGGCTAGGCAGTATGCCAAACCCTTTTACTCTCGTCCCAGGGAAACCTTGTGAGAGCCCAGTGGGTGCTGTTGTTATCCCTGCCTCACGGGTGAGAAAGCAAGACCCGCGAGGATCAGCAGCTGGCCCAGGCCCCGTGTCAGGCAGCGGCCGAGCTGGGACTTGAGGCCAGACAGTGTGGGGTTCCAGACCCCGTGCTGTGAGCCACTGGCATGCGCTTTCAGGGCAGGAGGTGATGGTCTGCCAGCGGTTCTTGACTGTGAGCGGGTCACGCTGGACATTTTTTTATACAAGAGAAATTAGAGTACTTGGGACTAGTAAAGGTAAAATATTGGTATGTGGAACTTTGGTTCACTTTTTTTTTTTTTTTTTGTACAGCTGTGCGTGTGCATGTGTGAGCTTGTAAGCCATTGGAGAAAGCAAGCAGCGTTGGTGTAGCCGAGAGCCGGTGGAGTGGTGGCAGTGCTCATGGAGGGGAGGGGGTCTCGGGGTGAGGCGCCGATGTGCAGTCTCCGTGTGAGATGCACACAGGGCCCAGTGTGGGGAGGTGTCAGGACGTGCCCCGCTCTCTGGGGGGAGAAGAGGGGTCCAGGTGTGCGTGTGCGCAGTGCAGGCCTCCTGGGCTGTTCACTGCCTGGTTCCCTAGCTTCTCTCAGCGGTAGCTGATGGGACAGGGTTGGCATGTCACCCACATCTGCATCTTACAGCAGATCTGTAAGCTGGCTCTGACTTGTGAGGTGAGCTGTCACCCCAAACTGCCTAAGCAGGGGGTTGAGCCAAGAATAAATTCTCTGGAGTTGAAGGTGAGCGGTGAGCCACCCAGTGGCAGTGGGCATCGCAAGTCGTGTTGGAGTGAGGGTCTGGGAATGGTTTGGCTGCAGTCAGTGCCCTTGGGATCCAAGGACCTCAGGGTTCCAGGGTTGAAGGCCCAACGTAAAAGTTAAGATTAGTACAGTTTTAGGAGTTCGCAAGGCAGGTGCAGCAAAGCACAGGCTGGGACTGGGTGCGGGACGCAGTGGCTGGGAGGTGACCGTCTGGAGAAGGTGGAGCTCTGTCTGTGGAGCCTCATGCAGGTGCGTGATGTCCTTGACCGACGGTGCTGGCCTCTTCTTCCCAACAGTGATTCCCTGTTGGTAACTGAAATACTAAGACCAGTTGCCAAAGGGAATTGTCTGTTTCCTACGGGCACCCCCCAAGTCGAGTAGTTCTGTGGGTGATCTTGGAGTTGATTGCGTGTGGTGCCGAGTCAGTCGGGTGGAGCGTGAGCACAGTCTGAGATGTTGTTTTCATCGACTGCTTCTGAGGAACTGCTTCAGCCACACGGAGCACCGGGAAGCAAGCGTAGAAGTAGGATAGAGTTTGAGCTGCATCGTGTCTGAGTCTTGGAGGTGGAATGCCCTGGCTTGGTCTGTCTGAACGCTGCAGTCCTTGTCTCTCCTCACTGTTTGGAGGAGAGTGGATCTGAGGACAGGAACGTTTCCTCAGTTGCTGAACATTTGGGACCTTGCGGCTTTAGGCAGTGAGTCAAGTGTCGGGGGCCAGGGGGTCACAGGAGTGGTTCCTGAGGAGCTTCTCAGCGCCGTCACGTGATCACATGCCGTGGGAGGTGCACACACCATGGGGGTGCACACACTGGGGGTGCTCACCACGGCGTTGGGGTCTGGAAGGAAACTCGAATCACCGTCTGCTTTCAGCTCTGTGCTTGGAAGCGTCATGTATGAGGATGGTAGCACATGTCTGAGACACACACATAGGCTGGGCTGCCTTTCTTTGCAGGTGGTTGTATGTGATAAAATGCATGGAGGCTACTATATGTTAGTTTAGATCTTAAAAAGAGACATTGTTGATAACTTGTCCTAACGTTTTGAGAGAACCAGGAGCCTCTGTGCATGTGACCTGTGTTACAGCGAGGAGGGAGCTGTGCTTGCGGCCTGCACTGTGTCATGTGGAGCAAGACTTGTTCTCAAAGAGGTCATTTTCTCCTCCTGTTGGAGGAACTTGACCTTTTGTGGGACGTGTCCCTTGTTAGGAAGCACCATGCCCTGCTGCCAGCTGTCAGGTTGGGGATGGGGCCTGGAGAGCGTGGTGCACCTGTGCCCTCGCACTGGTCAGTCTTGTCCCAGCTGACCTCCTGGGGACCCACATGCCTGTTCACGTCTTAAAGCAACAGGAATGGGGTGCTCCCCACAAATGTCTTGGCCCTTCTGCTCTGCGTCCTGTTTTCTCAGTATGAAAGGCCTCACGTCAGAGCCCGTGTAACCCTTGGTTCACAGGTTCTTTCTCCCCCACCCTGAGAACCTTTGTCCTAAATTAGTTAGAAAAGTGTTATCCAGCCCTGTTTTAAATGAGGGAAATTGGTTAAGTGCTTCTAGGGTCACTGAGGCCTTCATGTTCATTTTTGTTCAGGTGACACCTTGCCTGTGTCTTTCAGGTTGGACACAGTGGGGAGAATGCTTTCACGGCACGTCCCAGCCCCACTCGCAACTCAGGATGTCTCGGGGGGAGAGCGCGGTGTTTGCCTATGAGTCCTCGGTGCACAGCGCCAACGTCCTGCTCAGCCTCGACGACCAGCGCAGGAAGGATGAGCTGTGCGACGTCACCGTCCTCGTGGAGGGGCGGCCGTTCCGCGCCCACCGCGCCGTGCTGGCCGCCTGCAGCACTTACTTCCATGCGAGGGTCCTGGGCCAGGCTGACCCGGAGCTCAGCATTTCTCTCCCAGAAGAGGTGAGTGGGTCCACCCTCGGGAAGCCACCCTGATTTTAACTCATGGAACCTAATTCAGTCTCTATGGTTCACTCGGTTAAAGACAAAACCATCTTGTCTCAAGGCTCAGGCGCAGTTCCTAGGTTCTGCAGCAATACATTTAACTTTTTTCACAAAATTATGACATTTTGCATGTAAAATTATTAATTTTGGATTTAGTTAAAAGTATTTATTGAGCAGATGAATAACGTTCATTATTTTTAATTTTAACTTTTTTTTTTTAAAATATATTTTATTGATTTTTTTACAGAGAGGAAGGGAGAGAGATAGAGAGTTAGAAACATCGATGAGAGAGAAACAAGGGCACATGCCTGGGTTGTGGGTTCGGTCCAACCTGCAGGAGGCACCCAATCAATGATTCCCTCTAACCATTGATGTTTCTATCTCTCTCTTCCTCTCCCTTCCTCTCTGAAATCAATAAAAATATTTTAAAAATATATATTTGTATTGATTTCAGAGAGAGGCAGGTTAGGGGGAGAGAGAGAAACATCAGTGATGAGAGAGAATTATTGATTGGCTGCCTCCTGCATGCCCCCTACTGGGGATCGAGCCCACAACCCGGGCATGTGCCCTGACCGCCTTTGCCCAGTTTCCTCCAATGGTAACATTTTGCAGAATTGTAGAATATCACAACCAGGATATTGACATGAATACAACCCATCATCTTATTCAGAGTTTTTGGTTTTACTTGCACTAAGTGTGTGTGTGTGTGTGTGTGTGTGTGTGTGTGTGAAGTTCTGTGCAGTTCCATGTGTCCACCACAGTCAGATACTAAATGGTTCCCACACCCAAGGAACCATTTATAATTGCACCCTCCATCCCTAAACCTTGGCAACCACTAATCTGTCCTCCTTTCTAAAGTTTTGTCATTTCAAAAATGTTATATAATTGGAATAACACAGTATGTGACCTTTTAGAATTGGCTTTTTTCCACTGAATTCCCTTGAGATTCATCCAGGTTGCATGTATCAATAGTTTTTTTTTGATTGCTGAGTAGTATTCCACAGTATGGATGTACCAGTTTTTATTGAACTGTTCGCCTATTAAAGGAAATTAGGCTCGTTCCAGTTTGTGGCTGTTACAAATAACGTTGCTGTGGACATTGGGCCGAGCCAGCTCAGCCAAGGGTTCGAGAGCCTGAGTGAGGGCAGCGAAAGGATGAAGAAATGACAACGAGAATAAGCTGGGTCGGTGGATCTCCTGTGCCTGGCTGAGGCCACAGAGAGAGATCCAGAGGCAAGCTGAGCCTTTATTTTATAGCCAGAGGTAAACAAGGTAGTGGTCACCATAGTTACAGTGTTCTTGTCAGTTTCACTTGTTTTGGCAGCACTTGCTGCACCTCCCACAGCCCATTAGCTACGTAGGAAGGATCTAGGGAGCGTCATAAGGTCAAGCTTAATTATGCTAAGAGGGCTGTGCCCTCTAAGCTGGGACTTGTTTGTGGCTTTGCCAGCAGGTCAGTCCGAGGCTTAACCCTATAGCCGGTCCCTACAGACATTTGTGTCCAGGTCATTTCTTGGGGACGGAGGGCAGGATCCCGTTGGCAGGCCTTATGGGGTGGCGTTTTAGCTTTACAAGAAGCCCTGGACTGCTTTGCTGAGTGGCTGTGCGTTCCCATTCCTGGCCAGTGTGAGTGCCCTGCTTCTCCGTGTCTCACCAGGGAGAGCTGCTTTTTGTTTCAAACCATTTGAAAGCCAGTGCAGTGCGCACAGCTTAGAATGTTTTTAAGGAGATCACGAAAACAGTGTCTTGGCCACTCTTACAGGAACTCAGTGTTGAAGAATCAGTTCTGTATCGTAACCCAGAACGAGGCTTTCCCTGCACTTCACCCGCTCAGTCCCGTCTGCCCTCACGGTGTAGAGGCAGGTTCAGTGCAGATGTGCACGTTTCTGCTTAAAGCTCGTGTAGCCGGGAGCCCGTGGATCTTTGCATGGTTTTTAGAACTTCACTTTGTTCACTTTTAAAATTTGAATCTTTAAAAATTTTATTAGAAGTTTTTGGGATGAGATAAAGGTAACAGTTACCATTTATTGTGCATTTGCCCTGGATCAGAACTCCTCGAAGTCCTTTAGCTATGTTGTTCTCCACCTGTAAACTGCTCCCTCTGTGGCTGACAGCAGCTGGAGTTGTTCGCATATGACTGCCTGGTGGGCTGGCGTGGACACCGGGGGTGACTGCGTGTGTCAGGCTCCTCCTGCTGTAGTTACCGGTGTTTATTGCAGCCCGTTTGGAGACAGTGTGGTGCTGCTTCTCTTTCTTTTCCCGTGTGAGTACGTCGTAGTCATGTGTCAGTCAGCGTGGACTCTGTGAGTCGGTGTGTGTGATAGCGTGACCCCTCAGCTCTGTACTCCCTGGGAATGGTTGTCTTACCAGTTAAAGAATCTGCTTTATCGTGGTCACAGGTAAGTTACTCATCTCTCGTCCCGTCTGCTCTTGTGTTATCGACTAGACAGCTGTCGAGTAATGCATTTGTTTTCATTTTGTACGTTAACAGGTGACAGTTAAAGGATTCGAGCCTTTGCTTCAGTTTGCCTACACGGCTAAGCTGTTTCTGAGTCAGGACAACGTGGATGACGTGTGCAGGTGTGTGGAGTTTCTAGGCGTCCACGACATTGAGGAGTCCTGCTTTCAGTTTCTCAGATTTAAGTCCTCGGACTCCACTGCCAACCAGCAGGAATGCCCGAGGAAAGCCTGCTTCCCCGCCCACTGCCAGAAAGCAGGCCTCAAGCTTCCACTTCTGGACCAGAGGGATTTAGAAGTTAATGAGGTGGAGGAATTTTTGGAAAATAAAAATGTTCAGACTCCTCAATGTAAACTCCGTGGATGTCAAGGAAATACAAAACCGTCACCTCCCCTACAAGACAGTGCCAGTCAGACATGGGAGTCCATGTGCCTAGACAAGGGGGCTGCTCTGGCTCTGCCATCTCTATGCCCCAAATACAGAAAATTCCAGAAAGCGTTTGGGACGGACAGAGTCCGCGCTGTGGAGTCAGGGTTCAAAGACGGTCACACTTCTGTTCCGCCCAGTGAGACGCCTGAAGGCGAGTGTCCGGGAGGAGCCCAGGACTGCGCAGACTTGCAGGTGGTTTTAAAATGTGAAGAAAGTAACACAGCAGCGGAGCCTGAAGACACCACGGAGGAGCCTGCCTCTCAGTGCCCGTTGGAGCAGACGGGGGCGCCGTTCCTCCACTCTCCCGCGGACCCGCCGGGCCTCTACTCACTGTCCCTCCTGCACACCTACGACCAGTATGGCGACTTGAACTTGGCTGGTATGCAACCCACAGCAGTGTTAACCGAAAAGCCGTTGTCAGGCCCAGCTGTTGGAGAAGAGAAGACCTTTGCTGGAAGTGAGGATTTACTTTTGAAACCGGACTCCAGCCCTCGGGGAGAGGGCGGCCCCGCTCCTGGTGGTCGCAGCAGTGTGGAGCGGGAGGTGGCTGAGCACTTGGCCAAGGGCTTCTGGAGTGACCTCTGCAGCCCAGACGCTCCTGGCCCAGTGCCGCTGTCACCTGCCAGGGCCAACGATGGGGCAGGACAGGGCCAGTCACAGAAGCGGTCCGAGTGCCCCTGGCTGGGGATCAGGATTAGCGAGAGCCCGGAGCCGGGCCAGAGGACTTTCGCAACGTTAAGTTCTGTCAACTGCCCTTTTATAAGCACTCTGAGCACCGAAGGCCATGCGAGCAGCTTGGAGACAGCAGCTGACGGTTATGCCTCGGAGCCCCAGCAGGAACCCTGTCCGTACGCCTGTGTGATCAGCTTGGGGGACGACTCTGAGACGGACACGGAAGGGGACAGTGAGCCCTGCTCAGCCCGAGAGCAGGAATGTGAGGTGAGGGCTCGCGGGGGTGTTCGGTCGGGCTTTGCCACCACTGACGGGGATTCACTGTCAGCGCCTGGCGCCCCACCAGGGGAGTGCGTGGGCTCGAGGAGGGGACCACACCGTGAGGTGTGAAACTGTGGGGTCTGCACCAAGCAGGTACTTCTGTCAGCCGTGGCCTGGAGGCCCACAGGGCTGTGTAACTGCTCCCCTCAAACGCCAGGTCCCCGAGGAGGGGAGCAGTGGTGCTGGGTCCCTGTGTGTGACTCCTGAGCGGGTAGCACGGACGGTCTACTCACTGCCTTGGGGCCCTGCACCTGGGCAGCCCCTTGGCAGGACTGCGGTGCCCGTTGTAGGGATGCGGCCTGCAGCGCGACCTGCCTTTACTAGTATGTTACTCTCTCATAGCCATTCTTGTTCCCTTAGTCTTTCAGCATTAACTTAATGATGTCTAATAATTAAGTGCTACGTGTAGTTGGTGTGCGATAGCTGCTGTTTGTAAAACATGCCTGTAATTCCCAGGGCTGCTGCTGCTTTATCATTTTCCTGGTTCTGTAGTTGTTGGATGACAGGTTTGGGAGAGTGTAAGAGGTGGTTTGTCCTGGGCTTTGGGAGGAGGTGATCAGTGATGTAACTTACGAAGGAAGATGTATGCATGAGTTGTATCTGTAGATTTTTGTATGCTATTTATAAACTCAGTGTTTGGAACTATGAAAAGAACGTTAAAAGTAAAACATTTAAGAAGTTTAAAAATATTTCATATATGTAACAAACTAAATAGGTTGCCAGAAAAACTGACCAATATTTTATTTGCATTTTTGGTCATTAATATAATTAAGCTGTTCTACAATTTTGTTACTAGATTTTCTCCCTCAAATATAAATATATGTATCTTGAAAATGAATTTAAAATATTTACAACATTTTCCTAATTATTTTTACACTAGAGGCCCGGTGCACGAAATTCATGCACTAGGGGGGGAGGGTGTCCCTCAGCCCAGCCTGTACCCTCTCCAATCTGAGACCCCTTGAGGGATGTCCCACTGCCCATTTAGGCCCGATCCCAGCGGCAGTCGGACATCCCTCTCACAATCCAGAACTGCTGGCTCCCAACCACCTCTGCCTGCCAGCCTGATTACCCCCTAACTACTCCCCTGCCAGCCTGCTCAACGCCTAACTGTTCCCCTGCCAGCCCGGTTGCCCCCAACTGTCCTCCCCTGCTGGCCCGGTCGTCCCCAACTGCCTTCCCCTGCCGGAAAGTGAGATGTGTGCCTTTGTCTCCCAGGGCTGAGTGTGATAGCAAAACACAGCAGTGGTGACTGATGTTTGTCTCACGTCCTAGGTAAAACTGCCATTTAACGCACAACGGATCATCTCCCTCTCTCGGAATGACTTCCAGTCCTTGCTGAGGATGCACAAGCTGACTCCAGAACAGCTGGACTGTATTCACGACATCCGGAGGAGGAGCAAGAACAGGATCGCCGCCCAGCGCTGCCGCAAGAGGAAACTCGACTGCATACAGAACCTGGAGTCGGAAATCGAGAAGCTGGTAAGGATGCCAGAGAGTTAATTCCACCACATCCACCCATTCTTTTTTATTGTAGAGCAAACAGCTATTTTAATTCCTAAGTCAGATTATAATGTTCAATTATACATTAATTTTAAAATTTACCACATACCATTTTAAGAAAATAAATTATATGACATTTAGGAAGTAAAAAAGGATGTTTATAGACTACATATGTACGTATTCTACATATTATATCATAATATGTTATAAATTGAGAACTATTTCTGGGTGCCTTTTTAATGATTTACAAATTAAGGATAGTTTTACCATCTACCTAATTCTTAGGTGGAATCAAGATGCAAGACATTGTGAGGCACTTCAGTGTTTTGTGCCATGAATCTGTAACACTTAATGGTTCAGTTGTTCGTTAAAATACACTGTAGACTTGAATAACTTGTTTTGGTTGATACTAAAACAAACCCACTTGGATCTTTTATCTAAGGGAAAAAGTCAGATGCTGATAGGAAAGGAACATTCCGAGATCTAAGGAGACCCTGCATGTGAGGAATGCCTGCTTTGTTGAATCTTATTTTCTGTTCCAGCATCAAAACACAGGTTAACTGAAAAATGATTACCTTGCAGCCAGCCTGGTGTGTCCGTCCCCTAGTGGTGGTTGGAAGGAACATTGTGTGAGCAGCGGGAGCTGGGATTGGTGCAGCAGCAGGGAACAGGGCCACATGGAGGGAAGGCATTTCTTCTGTGCTCAGTTTTGGGTGTTTGTTAATTACTGGTGAGAGTTTAAAATTGTGATTGTAGCAAATCTTCAAGTATGAACATTCTAGCTATGAATAGCAGTTAAACAATTTAGAAAGAAAACCATGCTTTTATATACCTTCAAAAAAGTGGAAAAATAAAAATTTATATATTTTGTGTATACTTTAATTGTGCAAAAAGAGGAAGACATATAACTATTTAAAAAGACGAGGCACAACTGTAAAAAGGTTGAGAAACCAGATGTTTTACAAGTGAAGGCACGAGAGAGATGAAGACCTCTGTGATTTTGCTGACTGATTAAAGTGGTTGGGAACACAGGAGAAAAGTTACAGATTTGGGCCCTGGCCAGTTGCGCAGTGGTTAGAGCACTAGCTTGGGTCTGTGGGTTCGATTCCCAGTCAGGGGCATGTACCTCCGTTGTTTAGTACTTTATTTTTTTCAAAATATTAACTGCTATGAAATACTTAAAAACTAATTACCATAGTTAGATGTCCAGTTTTTTAGAAAAACTTTTATATAAAACCGTAATAGTACTTTTGTATAAAGCAAATTTCCTTTTACCCTTATAGCTATTTTTGTTCCAGAAAAGAATCTATGGTAGAGGATTATCACTGATATCACCCATCTAACTGTTAACCACAGCGTCAGCTCTATAGAACCTGCCCATGAGCAGAAAACCAAGAGCCCTGTCTAATCCCACAGGGGAAGCCTTTGGCCTCCTGCCAGCTTTTACTTCCTCTCCCTCTGGTCACCTGGCTCTTGCTGGCTCAGAGCAGGTGTAGGGGCAGCAGGAGAGGGAGTGGGCGAGGGAGAAGCATGCTGCCAGCAGGTGGTGGTGGGTGGGCTGCAGGAGCCAGCAAACCTGAGAACGTTGTGTGAAGACTTGCCTGGAGAGAGAACAATTCTAAACAATAATAATATGATTGACAAAACAGACCCCCCCATCCCCTCCCCTCACACCTAGTTCTTCACACTCGTAGCTCACACATTAGATTTCTGACTGTGGGCATTTTAGACGCTGAGTCCCACCTATCACGTGGGTTTAACGTTACTTAAATCAGCAGTCGTGGGACTCACCCAGCTGAGAGTGCAAATTCGAAGACATTTTGCACAATATTCGGCACAAAGTAAGTGCTCAGCAAATGCTAGTCGCTATTCGAACCTGGCGGTGATTTGAGTCGCAGGAGTTAGGGTGAGTGTGCTTCTGCCTCTTTTGACTCTGCTGTCTAAGATGTTAAGTCCACACGTGCTGTTCTGCAATCCGCAAGTCCAGAAAGCTCTGAAAACCGTACAGGGGAACAGTACCAGAGTGTCACCACCGCTTTGGCAGAAACTGATGCAAACGACATCAGGCGACGTAGAATCTTTTTTTCTCTACTTTGCGCATTGATATTTCACTGTGTTTTATTTAGAAGTGTAGAGATGTTTGACAGTGGGTGGCTGCCCCAGACCCCGCCAGAGGGAAGATGTGCGGCCACATTATCTTCCTAAATCTGAAAAATCCTGAATCCCAAGATACGTCAGGCCTAGGAGTTTTGGATGAGGGGTTATGGACCTGAGGTATTGAATACATTTTTCAATTGAATTGAAAGGAAAAATTCCATGTGACCGTGTTTACTGAGAAGACACTGCAGACACCAATGTCTGATCACCTTGGCAATGGTTGCTAATGCCCCCGAGTCATTGCGTTCTCTCTGTGCCCACAGCAGAGTGAGAAGGAGAGCTTGCTGAGAGAGCGAGACCACATCCTGTCGACGCTGGGTGAGACCAAGCAGAACCTGACCGGACTTTGCCAGCAAGTCTGTAAAGAGGCGGCTCTGAGCCAGGAACAGATTCAGATACTCGCCAAGTACTCGGCCTCAGACTGCCCACTTTCGTTTTTAATTTCGGAAAAGGACAAAAGTACTTCTGATGGTGCTCTTGTGTTCCCACCAATTCTGAGTTTACCGGAGGGGCCTCCTGCCACGCCACCTGCTGGGGGCCAAAGCCCCTGCTTCCCCTGCGGGAAGGGCAGTGGGTCGGGCTGCGTTCTGGCTCAGGAGTCTGGGCCGAGCTCCAGGGTGGTCCCGGAGTGCGCGGGGCCCTCGGAGCAGAGCCGGCAGAGCGCAGGCATCTCCGACTTCTGCCAGCAGATGACCGACAAATGCACTACTGACGAGTGAGCCTCATTCCTCCTTCCAGCCCCCGAGCCTCCTGCTGAAGCTCTGGAGTGTGTCTTGAGCCTCATCCAGCCATTGGTCTGCTGACAGGGCTGTTTCCCCTCCGTGGCCGAGAGGGCTTCTCTGAGGCCCCTGATGCCTCGACTCCACAGAGATGCAGGGATGGCGGCTTCCTGGAAATGGAGAAGTTCCATCGAACACGTCGTGAGGCTTTTATTCTGTTTCAAAGAATAATAACTGTTAGTAGCAACTCTCCCCCTCATTCAAAATGCCAGAATGTGGACTAGCCTGTCCAGCAGCCGTGTAACTGCAGGCGCCTACAGGGTTCCCCGAGGAAGGGCCTAGGGAGTCAGCAGCCTGCCCTGCCTGCGTGTGCTGAGAGCCTGGCCCCAAGAGCTGATGGGCTGCGCACAGTGGGGCAGCTGCTTGGGATGCCAGAAGCCTGGAGCTTGGCTCCTCAGCTCCTGCTAAAACCAGGGGTGGGTGGCCTACCACTGTGACCTTAAGCTCCCAGGGACCTTGGGGAGCTGGGGCAGGCGGGTGGCCCAAGGCAGAGGCTCTGGCCTTGTCGTGTGGCTATTAGGGGCTGTGGTCATGGCAGCGGGTAAGAGCTACGCTTCTCTCCTCAGTCTACCCAGCTGGTCCTTGAGGTCTCTGCCTCCTGACGTTCTGTCCCTTTGCGGGAGGGAAATGGGTGTTGGATTCAGGCAGTGTTGCCTTCAGCTTCTTGGACCCCAAGGGCTTGCCTGCCCCCCACAGCGCAGTGCCCTGCAGAGCCCGACGTCTGGGCAGAGGGCCACCTGCAGGACTAGGAGAGGCAGGCACTTTGATCTGGTTTTGAAATCCTATGGTTTACTTGTAAAAAGTATTATTGTAGATTTAAAAGATGCCTCTAGAACAACCGTATAGGTTTGTGAAACGGGATGAAACTCAATCTTGTTTCATGTGCATTTGAATTTGGAAACTAGAGTGAATGTTGCTCTGTTCCTGAATCTGGTGTCTCGGGGCCCACGGTCCTGGTCCTCTTAGTCGTCCCTTGTGTCTGCCCGTCCTGTTCAATGCAGCTTTCACCTCTGAGTGCTCCCGCAGCACCGCCTGCTGTTACAGACTTGTTTGACAAGGAACGCTAGGCTCTTGGCCTCCTACCATGACAAAAGCGTGTTCTCGGGCACAGACATGTGCAGAGCCCGTTGGAAAGGGTACGAAGGGGTGGTTGAGGGTGTTTGGTTTAGACAGTACCTCACCAAGTCAGACACCCGAGGCTCCATACAGGGCGTCCTGAACCACGCGAAGGGCCCATGGGTGCTGCTCCCGTGGGGACAGCCCTCGTCCGGGACAGTGAGCCTGAAGCAAGGCAGCCTTGGCTGAGAGCACAGGGACCACTGAGGACTTCACACTCCTGGCCAGAAGCGACCCTTTCTGATGGGCGGTGGCTGCAGGAGGCGTTCCCAGTCTATGTCCAGCGGTTCGTACAGTAGCTCTGTTACTGGCTTAGTGATTGTAAGAGAAAACTAGTTGGGCTTGCTTCTAGTCTAGAGCAGTGGTTCTCAACCTTCCTAACGCCGCGACCCTTTAATACAGTTCCTCATGTTGTGGTGACCCCCCAATTTCATTGTTACAAATTGAACATAATGAAAGCATAGTGATGAATCACAAAACAATATGTAATTATATATGTGTTTTCCGATGGTCTTAGGCGACCCCTGTGAAAGGGTCGTTCGACCCCCAAAGGGGTCGCGACCCACAGGTTGAGAACCGCTGGTCTAGAGGCTTTCATGAATACACTCAAGAATGTGTCAGGGAGAATGAAATTAGTTCTGTGCTAATGCATCCCAGCCCATAAAGTGTGTGGGCACAGACATCCCCATGTAGCTGTCTGATGCTTATAACTTTAACTTCAAAATACGAAATAATATAAAAATGCTTCTGGTTTACAAATGTAAAATCTAATACAAGCCAATGGAATCCTTGATTTCCTACCTCAGCAGACACTCAGCTGTCTGTCATACAAGTGTGCGGCGTGCGTGCGCGCGTGTGTATGTGTGTGTGTGTGTGTGTGTGTGTGCAGGTGTCACATGATCTGCTTAATTGCCCCTGTAAATAACTGCTTTGAAAGAGTCCTTTCTCTTTTAATGATAAAACCTAGTTGTCTCCAGAGTATATATATGATTTTTAAGGCACTTGGTTTAAATTGATCTCTACATATAAATAGCTTAGCATTAAGGGTTTATGTTAATGATACTCCGATTATTGGCCAACTGTAAAGCATAGCATTGTTTTACTAGCCAGCATGGAATACAGGAACTACACTACCTCATACCTCCATGATTTTCAAGTTGTAACAGAGGGACAGGAAGAAAAAAAGAGTTTATCTTTGTCTTTTGGCTGTAATTTTCTACATATTGCATAGGGTTACACACTTATGCGTATTTTAAAGTTAACTTCTAAAGAGGTTTTTTCCTAAAAGTGTGTTTAAGTTGATTTTCCTGAGGGTGCGGAAGACGGATGGCTGGGTTGTGTGCGCACGTGTGTAGCGTTTTCTTCCCGCAGAAGTCTGGGAAGGTTGTTTTCAGTGTCTGCTGCATAGTCACATGGTCCTGGTCCCCAGGTCTATGAATCGGTTTTCTCAATGCTTGATGGTTTTTAAAAAACTGTTATCTAACTCAGCAAAATAACATTACCTTAAATTTGTTATTTCAGCTCACCTATAGCAAATGATTTGTTAAATTGTTATGCTCAAAGCACATATGGATATAAATCTTGGTCCTCCATTTGTAACTTTTATGACATAATTTACTGCAGCTTAATGTTTTGCCAGTTTTGAATAAGGAATTATATATATATATATTTTTTTTAATTTTATTAATTTCAGAGAGAGAGGGAGAGATAGAAACATCAATGAAACATCATTGATGAGAGAATCATTGATCGGCTGCCTCCTGTACACCTCCTACTGGGGATTGAGCCCTCAAACTGGGCATGTATGGAACCGTGACCTCCTGGTTCATAGATTGATGTTCAACCACTGAGCCACGCTGGCCGGGCCGGAATTAAATATTTCTGATGTGGTAGATGATACAGGTTGCATGTGGACACTCAGCCCCTCACAGCTTCGAAAAAAATCAGACAAATGGCAATGTTATAATGAATTCTCAGGTGAACTTGTTTTGTATAAAACATCTGTTTTGAATTTGTAAGTATTTTAAAGGTTTACTAAGGCATGTAATAAACTATTCTTTGAAGCCTGTTGGGTAAATGAAAATTTAAAGCCATAATGGCATACTAATTGTAAATAAACATCTATGGATTTTTTTGTATCTTCCTTAATATAATTTTCTAACAATGCAATAAAACCACTAAATTTATATATTCATAGCCAATTAAGGTCATATTTCATTAAAACAAAACTTTCATAGTATTTAATTTATATTTCCTCCCTAATGTGCTTATCCAAATGTAGCAAAACGATAGATGTTAGTTGTTGGCAATAAATTGACAGTTAAATAAAATTCCCTAAAATTGCTTCTAATTGAATAGAGTTGTATATTCCATTTCCATTTCCCACTTCTGAGGTGACTTTACTAATAATCTCAGTCTTTGGTCAGGCAGTACTTGTCTGAGGGAGGACTTAATATTTGATGATGGTGCTGAAAACTGTGCCCGGACATGGGGGTTAAGGGAGCACAGCTTCTGCCTTGCTCCTGACGGACTGCAGTTGAGGCTTCGGGTGGAGATGGGGGGCTTTTGGAGGGGACACTGTGTCTCTAGTCCCGGGTTTTACAGACTCACCTGCTCAGGCACCTCTCCCAGGTGACAGCCTACGTCTGGCCAGGCCCTGTGCCAGGCTGGCCACCCAGAGCCTGCGCTCCCGGTGTGTGCCTCTCCGGGAAACGTGACTCACCAGGGGGACCTGACATCCTAGTGTTCAGCAGTTTCCAGAGTAGCAGGGGCAGGATATAGGACGGCACCGGGTGGGTGGAGGCCAGGCCCACTGCCAAGTGTCTATGAGGCGCAAGGTGACCCTCACGGCAAAGAACCCACCACCCGAGATGCCAGGCACCCTCACCAGGCCCGCTGGGGCAGGCTGCTGGGAGGTGGAGGAGAAATGGGGTGTCACAGGCTGGGGATCTCGGTGTGGGCCACGCGCCCGGAGAGGGGGCACCAGTCAGCCTGGCATGCATGGGCACCGAGGCAGCGTCACAGTGGGAGAGGCCAAGGGCCTGGCAGCCCCAGGACGCCACCATGTGGTCACCATGGTTACCACAGGTCCAGGCATCTGATGGCCCCTGTGAACACTGACCCTGTCACAGGAGGCCTGAGGCCAGGTGCAGGGGCTTTGAGGATGGGAGTGTGAGGGGTGGATGTCGCACTCTGAGGGGCCAGGAAGTAGCACCCGCGCCCTCTGCCCCTGCACCCCAACACGAGTTTTGGGCCATTTGAGAAAGAAGGTGGGCGTGGCATCCACCTTGCTGATGGAGGCCCGTGGGAGGGCGCGGCTGCACAGGTGAGCCCAGTGGGTTTGCTGAACGTGGGCGAACCCCAGCCAGTCGCCCGGCTTACCCGGGACAGCGCCCCGGAGGGCAGGTCCCAGCACTTGGGCTCGGCTGGCCACCTGCTTCAACGGACCGACTAGAACCTAGGGCCTCCCTGGGCAGTGGGAGGAGATGGCCGCGGGGACAAGGGGTGCGGGGCATGGGGGTCGGGGGCAGGGGTCTAGGAAAGACCTGGAAGCTGGATGAGGGAGGGGTGTCCCCTTCATGCGCCTCCCCTGGTTTTTCTGTAAACACTGGGTCCTCATCCACAGCGGCCTCGGCCAGGCCTGTCCCCGTGGCTGTGGCAGCGCCAGGCATGGCCCTGCTGTTCCGGACAGGCCATCCCGAGGGGTAACCCCAGAAACTCCAGATGTGCCAAGATGCCCATCGCAGCAGCGTCCAGTGCAGTGGACAAGCCCTCAGAGAGGGACAGGTGACTCCTGTCCTGACCCTGAGCCGGCGTCCTCGAGGGCGGCCAGCGTTATGCTTGGCTCTCGTGACCTTGTTCACTGACTCACAGCCGCCCCCGCGGTGGGCCCTGCGCTCCCTCCTCCTGGCGCTTTATCCGGTGCAAACCACCGCACAGACGCGGAAACGGCTGACAGCGCCCACTGCATCCGGAGCGACCATCACCTGCGCGTGAAAGTCTCTGTGAACAGCCCGCCAGGTGTCCGCCAAAGCCGACCAGGTCTGGTGTGTGCCATTCGCCTTCACCGGGGCACGTGGATCCCGGACGGCGGCCCCCGCAACCGAAAACGGTCAGACGTGGTTTTAAGAAACAAAAGCTACGGGCATGTCAGCCAGGAACCTAAAGGCAGGAAGTTATCTCACCAAGAACCGAAACCCAGGCCTCGGGACGGGCTCCCGCTCCCCCTGCATCCCCGCCCTTCTCGACGCACTGGGTTTTGCTGCTGTGACGTCGTGATCGCCGTGCTGTGACGTCACGGGGCCTGGTTTGCTTGTAAGCAGTCAGGGTCTCACATGACGTTAACGTGGGGAAGGTCCGTAGCCGTGCACTTGGGAACGTATTTTGTCTTATTTTCTTCTGTTCCTGGAACTTCTCACAGTCCTGGCCTTGTCAGAACTCGCTGCGCGTGATTTTTCTCTCCACCATAGATGACAGTGCAGCCCCGCCTGCACCCGGGAGCAGCCAGACCAGACCCGTGGCGGGTTCCTGTCTTCGGGCAGGACGCTCCCCGGTGCCTTTGGGGACGAGGCCAGTGTTTCCAGCCCACGTGTTTCACAGCAGATCCACCGTGTGGGCGTGACCCGCTGCGGGTCACCCTCCTGTGGAGGCGCCGTCTCCCGGGAGCCCCGGCTCAGGCTGAGGAAGCAGCTTGGGGAGGTGGCCCCCCTGTGCACAGCC